AGTATTAATGGGAATTATATCACAAATTTAGACTCTAAACCTTATTTTTAGCCATTGTAGTTCTTTGCTGGATAGCAACAACAGCTGCTCAATCAAAGAGAGGAAGCGGATGAAACGTTTGAAAAACAAATTTCAGGGGTTTCGAAGAGACACTACATAGTAGTGGTGGGAGATTTCAGTTATCTAGATATATGTTGAGGGGCAAATTCTGCGAATTATAGCCTTTTCAAGAAATTCCTGGCTTGTGTGGCTGATAATTTTCTCCTACAAGAAGTGGAGAAAGAAACTAGAGGATTTGCTATCCTTGACTTGATTCTGACCAATAGAGATGACTAAGTGGGGGAAGTGGCAGCAAGGGGAACTCTAGGCGAGAGTGACCATGGCCTTCTAGAATTCTTTATTTCAAAGGAAACGAAAGCAGAGTGTAGCCACTTACTTCTGATGGATTTTTTAAAAAGCCAATTTTAATAATCTCAGAAAAAGGATAAGGAAGGCCCCATGGCAGGAGAGCCTAACAAGAAAAGGAGTCCAAGAAGGGTGGGAGCTTCTTTAAAAAGAAATCCTAAAGGCATAACTACAAACAGTTCCAACAAGAAAGAAAGAGGGGAGGTGGCAAAAAAAACGCCAGTGTGGTTTCACAAAAAGTTCAGGGCGGACCTAAAAACAAAACGAAACAAAAAAAGTAGAGGAAGTGGAAAGAGGGCCAGGCCACCAAGGAGAGTACAGACAAGTAGCAAGAAAATGCAGGGATGGCATTAGGAGGGCAAAAGCTGGGAATGAGCTGAGGTTAGCTAGGGCCACTAAAAGAAATAAAAAAAAACTATTCTTCAGGTATCTGAATAGCAAAAGACAAACAAATTTGCAGATGATACCAAATTGGGCAGAATAGCTAATACCCTAGAAAACAGAAACAAAATTAAAAATGACCTTGATAGGATGGAGCACTGGGCCAAAAGCAACAGAATGAAATTCAACAGGGATAAGTGCAAAAGACTGCACCTCGGAAAAAGAAACCAAATGCAGAGTTACAAGATAGGGGATACCTGGTTCAGCAAAACTACGAGCGAGAAGGATCTTGGAATTGTCATAGATCACAAGCTAAATACAGTGGTGCCCCGCATAACGAGTGATCCGTTTAACAACGAATCCGCGTAGCAATGTTTTTCTGCGATTGCAAAAGCGATTGCATAACAATGTTTTAAATAGGAAAACATTGCTTTGTGATGATCGGTAAGCGTTTCGCTTACCGATTTTCGCATAACGATGTTTTTTTAAACAGCTGATTGGGGGTTCCAAAATGGCCACCGGGTAAAGAAAATGGCTGCCCGCAGTGTTTTCGCGCCCTTTCCTCGCTTACCGGGCAGCGAAAATGGCAGCCGCATGGAGGATTTTCACAGAACGGTGAGTTTTTTGCCCATAGGAACGCATTAAACGTGTTTTAATGCATTCCTATGGGCTTTTTTGCCCCGCATAGTGACGAATCCGTATAGCGACGATTTTTTTGGAACGGATTATTGTCGCTATGTGGGGCACCACTGTATGAGCCAACAGTGTGATGTGGCTACAAAAATGGCTAATGCTGTTTTAGGCTGCATTAATAGAAGCATAGTTTCCAAATCCTGCAAGGTGCTCTTCAGCACTGTTTAGGCCTTGCCTTGAGCACTGTGTCGACTTCTGGACACCACACGTCAAGAAGGATGCTAACAAATTGGAACAAGTTCAGAGGAGGGTGACAAGGATGATCAGGGGGCTGGAAGCCAAACCTTGTGATGAGAGACTCAACAAATTTGTCACGTTTATCCTTGAGAAAAGAAGATCGAGGGGAGGTAGGAGAGCACTTTTCAAATATTTGAAAGGCTGTCATACAGAGGAGGGGCAAGATCTGTTCTCGATCACCCCAGAGTGCAGGAAGCCAGATTTCGGTTGAATATCAGGAAAAATTTCCTAACTGTTAAGAGTCGAGAACCAGTGACCTTGAGAGTTGATGAGTGCTCCAACACTGTAGGCATTCAAGAAAAACTTAGATAATCACCTGACGGATATGCTTTGATTGTATTCCTGCATTGAGCAGGGGGTTGGACTTGATGGCTTGTAGGCCCCTTCCAACTTCACTTTTCTATGATTCTAACAAGAATTCTGCTTATATTCTGGATGGTTCTTGCATTTCTAATTAGAATCACCATCCAACACTGTTGGAAAAGTAGTGGGGGAGAAAACCAACTTTCTATCACTCTTTCCAATGCTCTGGTTGTATCAACTAAGAAGTGGCTAATGCATGTTGAGAGATAACTAATCCGTATAAAATGACCCTGACAAACTGCCTTTGTCTTTTGACATGGTATTGCTGTGTAATTGTTACCAAGAAAGACCACCCTGTACAAAGCCTTGGATACTATTGCATGCCAAGATGCACATAATGTCCTCTTAGGTCGGTGAATTTTGTGGGAATCCAAAAAATTGCTGGTGAACCCCATCACTCCAGAAGCCATGCAGCATTCTAGCAAGAATATTAGGTTATTTCCCAAAGAGTAAATCTGTTTCGTGGAAGAATTTATAAAGCAGGAGAATGCATAATTTAGTAGGCTGGTATTTACCAATCATTTTGTTGCCAAGAAGCAAGTGTAAACCAGAGCGAACTAAATCCTGTGGGAAAACAGCTGACAGTAGAATGTAGTCTGTAAGTTTCATCTAATAATAAGGTAAATGAGGGTAATCAATACTGTTGTCTCCCTCCTTTGTTTTCATAAGGGGATAGTTTATGTTAGTCTTGTTGTCAAAAGAAGGACGAAGTTTGATGATGTACAAAACAACACCAACACGCTGAGTTGCAGACTGAAACTGGCCTAACACTTTAGACCTTTGTGGCTGATTTGCTGAAGAAATGTTTCAACAGGAGGCTGAGAGGAAGATTTAACTTTTTGTTGGTGCATCTTTTGATGGAATACCTGGTAGTGACCATCACCACATCATCCTAGATATGCATGCTAGGGCTAGCAGTTGTTTGAAAGGACCAAAGAAGCTGTACTGCTTTGTTTGGAAAGAACAGCAAATTTATAGTTCTCATTTTTCTTTATTTATGTAGAGGTCATGCACATTCTGCAAATCACCATCTGTGTGCTTTCTTTCGTTATTCGTATCAGAGCGTTGCACAATTTAGAAGTATGGATGAGGAGGGAAGAAGGTAGGAACAATTCGCATGAGGAGGAAAGAAGGTGTGGACAAACTGAGTTTGGGGAAGAATTGTAGTTTTTTAATTGTAGTCAGGAAATTGAGATCTGCGTAGATCATAGTTTACTTCGTTCACCCCAGGAACAAGTAAAACTATAAATCAAAAATAAAATACAAATTTGGTCATTTCTCTTCCTCTGGGGTCACAGTCCTCAAGCATGTCTAGCCAAGCATGTTATGGATAGCCTAGTTCCTTGATTTAATGCTTGTAAACAGACACTCTTGTTAAGCACTAAATTTCCTGTGAATGTTGATCTTTAATCTTTCTTACCGCTAAAATATTTTTTTCTCCCTTTAAATATCACTTTTTGGCAGGATGATAAAGTGATCATTTTTGGAAAGAGCTGATGCCTGGTCATGAAGGGAAATTCTGTTGCTGAGTTTGTTTTTCCCCCTAGTGCTGACATTTTCAAGCTGTACATTTATTTCGGGCTTGCCAGAACATGGTTGCATAAATCAGTATTTGAACTAATTGGGAGCAGCTCAAGCTGAATGCTCAAGAGGTCTTATCAGAAGCTACTTGTTACTATCATCTATGAAACTGGATGAGTATATTTTATGGAATAGACTCCTTCCTTTCCATGGGACAGGCTTATTACAGAATTAACTGCGTGAGCAATGGTTTGTTTCAGGAGTAGTTGTTAGACCACAAATTTTCAGTGAAAACGGAAAAGGAATATAGCTTCATATAAATTTGGATGTGTATCTGAAAGCAAAGAAACATCTACTAAAATTCTCCAGTGTTCCAGAGCAGTGGTTCCCACCTTTGGTCCCTATATGTTCCTGGCCTACCTTTCCCAGTAGCCAGGTTGTGCATAAGGATTGCTTATTTAAGGCAGCAAGTAGAATTGTGTGTAAAGGCAATCATAGAATCATAGAAAAGTGAAGTTGGGAGGGGCCTACAAGTCCAACCCCCTGCTCAATGCAGGAATACAATCAAAGCGTATCTGCCAGGTGATTATCTAAGTTTTCTCTTGAATGCCTACAGTGTTTTAACCAAACCCCGAGGTAACTGGTTCCACTGTCGTACTGCTCTAACAGTTAGAGCAAGAACAGCAAATTTATAGCAATCAAATCTAGAAAAATGTTTGGGATACAGGGTATGGAATGGGAAAAGAAGATAGAACATGGATTTATACAATATAACTTTTGATTCCTTACTAGAGATGGGGATATTCGTATTCGTAAACAAATACGAACATCCCCGTCCCAGCTGCAGCTAATGTGGGTCTGGCCCTCAGAACCGATCCGTCCGCTCATGCATCCCAGCACCGCCGGCGTCCCACTCCTCCCACCAATTGCGGAAGTAGCTCCTCCGTCTCCCTGCTCAGCTGGCCACTCCAGGCAGGGGGCAGGAGCACAAGTCTCCCCACATGGCCACTGAGTGGCCAGCTGATCAGGGAGACAGAGGAGCTACTTCTGCAATTGGCGGGAAGAGCCGGACACTGGTGGTGCCAGGACATCAGATGCGCATTAGTTGCAGCTGGGATAGGGGTATTCGTATTTCTTTATGAATATAGATATTCCCATCTCTATTTCTTACTATTACTGGACCGCAGCCATGAGCAGAGTATCGTCACATATCCAGAGAGCTGCCTGTGTGTATAAAACATCTATTTTTGCAGAAGAGGCTTTTGCTTAACAATATTCTGCTGTTGCCTCATTGATTCTTTTCATTTTTGTTTTTCTTACAGTTGTTCCATGTGGCATACGTTTGGATCAAGTTTGCGCTGTTGCCTCATTGATTCATTTCGTTTTTGTTTTTCTTACAGTTGTTCCATGTGGCGTATGTTTGGATCAAGTTTGCAAATTCTCCTCGTCCAGATCTGTGGGTGCTTGAACGGTCAACAGATTTTGGGTTGACATATCAGCCATGGCAGTACTTTGCCTGTAAGTATGAGAGAAAAGTGGAAGGGACTTGACATCGGAGCATATATATCCAAAGACCAATCCTGTCATATTGCTAGAGTGAACAGCCCCGAGTATTCTGGGATGTTGATAAACCTTATTGATTTCTATCTTGGGTTCATTTCTAGTCATAATGGGTAACATCGGAACATACATATCCAAAGACCAATCCCTGTCATATTGCTAGAGTGAACAACCCTGAGTATTCTGGGATGTTGGTAAACCTTATTGATTTCCATCTTGGGTTCATTTCTAGTCATAATGGGTGGCTGTTGATAGTAAGAAGAAGCACCTCTGGGTGAATCATGACTATAAGCCAGAAGGTCTCTTATGTTTATGTCCTGGCTGGAATGTGTGTAACCTCATGTACGTAGAGGCAGTTACATTTTCACCCTTAACATTCCAGTGCATTTAATTGCTCACCTATTAATTAAATCGCCATGACCTGAATGTGAGGAGTTTTATGTATTTGCTTTAGGAAGTTACTTTATTGGTTAGTTCTAAAATTATAAGAACCCAGTAATTTTCCCGTACATTTATGGTAAAAGATCAGAGCAATTTGCAGTCTGTCCTCTCAGATGTCTTTGCAGTTGGAGTCCTGTTATCTCCGTCCTGTCTTACTTTTCTCATGCGTCATTCTAAATGTTTATTGGAAAGTTTCATTTACCCAGAAACTTTGTAGAGTGAAGTTTGAGGGAATTTCTAGACAGAAAGTCTGATTACATCTAAAAAGGATCAATATTTGTCCCGTGTCCAGTGCTTTGCAGTAACTCTGTACCCTAGTGCAAAGGAAGCATTGTGCACTTTTCGGCTACCCTCGGTTTCAAGGCAGCATTTGTGACTGCTATGACTCTGACCGACATCCAGGGAACTTCAGGAACACCTCTAAGCACTAGGCCAGTAGAGAGCCAATTGCTTGTCCTCTTTCACTGAACTGAGCTCAGGAGGAAGGATGGAAATAACCCCCCAAAGTTGTACTATGCTTTAAAGGTGCTTAGAAGTGTGGTATGAAGTCCTCTCCTGCCACTGCTCCAGATTTGTCAGGGAAGAATACACGTGATGGCAAGCACTATGGCTGTCTTTTTGAGCCCTTGTGGATTTGGCAGTGTCTGTGCTCCAGTCTTTGTCTCTTGCTTAGCTTGTTGCAAGCATGGTTTCCCAGGGCAAGCAGAAACCACATTAATGTCAGTTCTTACTCTGATGTAAACAAGGCTTCAGAGTTGTTTGTGGGACTTGGGTCTGAAGGAGAGATTAATAGCCCTGTGTGTCATACACACCCTTGTGTCTAAAGATTATAGACACATTAGTCACACTGCAGAAACAGCTAACATGTTAAAAAGCACTTTTGTAGTTGGGTGGTGGGTTTTGAACCACCTTTTGGTATCTTTTTGAACAAAAAGGGGCTTTCTTATTTAGCATAGCATGCTCATTTGTTTGCTGATTCAGGGGCTGTGATGGCTGAGGCCATGGCAGCAAGGGAATTCTGAGGATTGTAGTCCAAAAAGGTAACTTTACTCAGCCTTTGTGTCTATTCTAATTTTTCCCCTTTACTAACCTCATGCCGGAAGAACTGCTGGTTTCGGAATTCCCTCGTCTTTGGCCATTGTGGCACTGAGCTGAGTTGAATTATTTCTTGGCAGTCCCACAGCCATTTTGGCGAGAACCTTACTAGATCAATATATTCCAGAACATGAGAAGAAGATGTGAACGTTCTGTGAAGTCTCATTTTGTCATTGTTTGTGGAGCCCTCTTGCCTTTTGACAGGATGCAAGTTGCTATTTCCTGCAGCCTAGCCATTAGGAGCTGCGGACAAGACATTTAGGTCTGTCTCTTGTTCTAATTTCCTGGAAATGGAAAACGAACAGAATTTGACAAGAGAATTTATTTCTCAATTCGAAGTTGCCTGCTGGATTCCATAGAAAAGTCTGCTCCTTTCACTACCAAGAAGCACCAGCTTGTTCTACAGATCAATCATACAAAGCATGTAGAGATAAACCAAAGTTATTCCAGACATTTTAAGCATTGCCTTCTCTGGGGAGCGAGACCAGTAATTGGTAGAAGATGTGGCTTAAGTTTTTTTGATGATCTTTTAAACAGAAAAACATGGCGAAAGAGTTTCTGGAAAGACTATACCATGAATTTTTCCACTTGGGTGTGCTACCAACCCTCATTTCTTTGACAAAGTGTATCTGTTGGCACTATGATTACTTTCATATAGGGAAGAATGGAAAGCCTCTTCCTCTTGGAAGATTTTTTTCCCCTTCAAATAATAACAGATTTTTTTAAAAAAATTCAGGTGTTTTTCCCATTGAAAAATGAGAAGTACTGAGTGTAAGGTTGACAAGAATAGTCAAGATTGGCCTTAAATGTATCTGAAGTACTTGTGCTTTCTATGCAGCACACATTGGGATTCTGAACCTGTGCCAAGCATTATTCAGAAAGATCTGGAGTTTACAGCAATGTATTTTTGTTGCGAATTACCATCCCAGAATCTAGTGCACCTCTCTAAAGTGGCACCCCCCAACTCTCAGTAGCAGCACTAAGAGAAACATACTTTTGATTTATGCATCAAACCTTCCCAGCTTGTATTTTTCTGCCAGTTTTGCATTTTGGTGTCACTCATGATCAGTTTGCTGGTGGTCCTTTGTGTTTAGAGAGTTGTTGCATATGGCACAAGAGGCTTCTCCTCTTGAAATGTAAAGTATAAGGTGTGTGTCTCTTAGGCCAAATGGGCGGGGTATGTATGTATGTATGTATGTATGTATGTATGTATGTATGTATGTATGTATGTATGTATGTATGTATGTATGTATGTATTAATTAATTAATTAATTAATTAATTAATTAATTAATGCTGCTGGTATTTTTCATATCTCTTGAAATACTAAATGTCCATAAAACAGATCTGAATCTGTTTTCCTGATTTATAGCTTCATATTGTTAGCCACTGTCAATGCTACCGTTTACCAGTGCAGGATACATAGTTGGAGTTTGAAGGTACGCAGGATGTACATTTTGTAATTTCAAAATGTGTATTTTAGAAATTATTTCTAAACACACATATACACATCTTTTTGCATTACTTCTTAAATTGGAGGTTTTAAAGGACAGTGACTTGTTAGGTTCTTAGGAGGTCTGTATCATGTCTCTGCCCCCACGTTGCATGTAAATTATTCCAATAACATCAGGGCTTTTATGTTGATGCACATGTTAATTATCAAAGAGCTAGCTAGGTTTAAAGCAGGAGGAAAGCAGGTGGAGAGTAGATGTTTGGCTGGCAGCAATTTGTGGGAAGGGAATTCAGTACAATGGTTCACAGTCTGGAGCTGTACTCTGGATTCTTTGTTGAAGCTTGAAATCAAAATCATGCTAGGAATAGAACTATTTGTCAGAACTATAGAGACATTTTTATATTCTAGCTATCTAATTTTTCTGAAATTGGCAGCTTCATTTCACATTCAGGAGTAAAAACTGGCTTAGTAGGTTTTTTGTGCTAAAATTATGAATGTGAGCCACTGGACAATTAGGTGCAAAGTGTGGCTTCCAAACCCTTTGAGGTTATGATATATAAACTCAAAAACATAAATTGCAATATACCAAAGATGTATATCTGGAAATCATTCATCCAATGAAAAATGCCTTTTTATTTTAGAAAATCTAAGGAGTTTAAAAAACCAAAAAAGGAAATATCGAAAACAATTGGGCAGAAGTTTGGGCTGAGCAAAGACCTGCCCCAGATTGGTTTCATTTTTTCATGAGCTCTCTGGATGCAGAGGAGGACTTCCTCACTATCCATCGTTCTGCTGATGATGAGCGAAGCTATTCCTGCTTCTTTTCAGTTATGAGAACTTCCTTCAGTATGAAATGTGGGAGCCTTCAATATAGCATACTGTACATGAGAAGGTTTTGGCAAGAGGCAGAAAAAAATGTATACTACTCCAGGACACTGGCACAGTTGAAGGACTTAGTTCCACATAAAAGAGATGTACCTTTGTGAGAGAGTTGCTTCTTGTGTCTTCAGCAGGCTGTCCATTCTTGCCCCCCACCCCAGACAGCAAGGAGTGGGGTGAGGCAAAAAAAAATAGCTTGACTCGTATCTTTTGTGTCACCCTGGACGTATATACAGAGTCCCTGGACAGAGGTCTGGGTGCACATCCTAGTGGCCAAGGGGGAGGATGCAGAGGAGGAGACCCTCTGTTCAGCCCATCAGTCTTACCCACCATGGCACCCACTCTGTGGAGATCCCAGCATTCAGCAGGACACACAACTTGTTTAAGAGTAACATTGAAGAGGCACTTCAGTATCAGATGGTGGTCGTGCAGGACTGGGTCAGCAAAACATGGGTCTGATCATTTTCCCAGTTGTAGGCTCAGCGCAGGCCCACTCCCCATGGAAGTTTCTTTCACAGGACTAACAGCAGCTTCGGGAATTGATATTTACATATATATCCTGTTTCCCTGAGGAGATGGCTTCAGAGATCACAATTAACAGCCCTACTCTCTAGCCAAAATATATGTTTTAAAAAGACACTTTAATTGTTTACACACAATTAATGCCACATTTAGTAACATTAGTGCATGTCTGTGGAAATGTCCGATATCTCAGCATCCCTCATCAGTATACTTAGGGTCTTATATTCATTTTTGCTCCAGAAAATGCAGTAGGGCTTATTTTTAGGGGATGTTTTATTTTTTTTCATGTACAACCATCTACATTGATTCAAATATAGTCATGTCATCTTATGGTTGCTGCACAGTGGTGGATGGCGGGGTTTCACTTAACTAGGGCTTATTTTTGGGGTAGGGCTTATATTACGAGCATCCTGAAAAATCATACTAGGGCTTATTTTCATGTTAGGTCTTATTTTCGAGGAAACAGGGTACTAGTGTAAACATGATTATACACATAGAGATGGGCACAAACCGGTTTGTCCCTGTTCGTCCCAGTTTGTAAAGATGGCAGCACAGGTGTTGCTGCTCCCCTCCCTGCCTCCTCAGGCTCACACAGCCACTTAGGCCCAGCATGCTAGCTTCCATCATCATCTCAACTGATCTTCCAGTTCTGGCAGCAGCTCAGGCTGCTGTTCATGCCCATCAGTTCATGCCCATCTCTATTAGACAGGATTACCTATCCCTTACCTCTCTATCATTGCATCCATTCTCCATGGTTTCTGCCCAGAGTTTGATGAGAAGGATCCTCCTTGCATGTAGGCTCTATAGGCAAGCAAGGACCCAGATGTCCTAGCGTTCTTGATCACATGTAGAAACTTCTTTGGACCCAGCACTGAAATGATGAAGAATGTAATGGCAGAGGATGTGGGGCTAGGTGCTTCCCTCTTAGTAGCTTCATATGGCTAGGTTGTATAGTGTCTGCATACGGCTTCCATTGTGAAGGTATGCCAGCTGCTTCCATTGGGGGTTCTCCTAAACTGTTCTGTAAGGATAGTTGCAGATGTATCTTCCATGGCCTGATTCAGCAGGCCTTCTCTAGCGTGACTTGTTACACTAACCAACAGGATTTCAGCCACTGTTTTCTTCTCTGCCATGGCCATTTATTCTTGGCAGGAGTCAAAGTTAAGTTCTGCCTGCAGCTGCTTCTAGACTCAGGCCTGTGAAGAATGGGTTAGGTTTCCAGTGTCAGATCTGTGTGAGGTCTGCATTCTTCAAGCTGTACAGAGCTTGAAGCTTCCCCTGCTTGAGCAATGCAGGTGCACATTTTTTTCAGAGTTCCAAGTGGCGGCTATTTCATAAGTAGGCATTGTCACATCTAATTCCTATGAATTACCATTTTTAAAAAAACACACATCAGAATCCTGTATCTATATAAGGTCCAGATGTTTTATATGTATGCTTTGAGTCTGTGTGTTCTAATCTTGTTTCTGTCATTTATTTTAGACATCATTTCTGAGCTCAAAATGAGGAAATTTCATTGATCCCTCCTTTTCTGCCCCATGAACTCATTATTTGACTTCAAGAAGGCCCTCTTTCTTAGTTTCAGCCTTGAAGATAGTAGTGCTTCTGCAGATTCATTGTACAAACAGTCTCAATGGGAATCATGTAGCCAGTCACAGAATCAAATTCTGTAACTTCTGGGAGAACTTATAGCCAGCATATTTATGCAACATTGTGTTACACTTAGAAAAACAGGATTCCAGCCATTTTATCATTAGGTTTGGGACAATACCTACACTTCTGAAATGTGGATCTTTTACATCTCTTACTTTCTGTATTTGGTAGCATCCAAGAGAGATTGCATAGAGAAATTTGGTTTAAAGACTGTGGAACGGATTACCAAAGATGATGATGCCATTTGCACCACTGAATACTCCCGCATTGTGCCCTTGGAAAACGGAGAGGTGAGTTGATTTATTTGTTTATTGGCCTGATCCTATGGTTGTGTATCTAAAATTATCTATGTAGCTGACACCGGTTTGCATTATGATGTCTTTAGATATGAAGAATTCCACTGGGATTTTCACAGACATTGCATACTAATCTTGTTTCTGAGGATACATTGTGATTGTGCAGATTCCAATCCTATGGGGTAACTTGGAAATCTTGGGAAGCCATTCTGCATCTATAAAATGGGAGTTATGCAATAAGAATAAAAATGAGTGGTCTTACAGGGCTGTTAGGAGCATTACTGTAGCAAAGACTAAAAGGCAATGGAGAGTGAGGAGAGACAGAAGGTGAGTAAGGCAAAAGTCATGAAGTCTTGGATGGTACTGTATTTTTCCATGTATAAGACTATACTTTTGTCTAAAATCTTAAGACTAAAAATTGAGGGTCGTCTTATACACAGAACTAAGCTGAGGAGAGAACAAAAATAAGTGGAGGGGAATGCAGGGATTAAAGTGATCCTGCAGGGCTTTGATGCCTGCTTTCCCCTCCACTTGCTAAGCCCCACTTAGATTTCTTAATTTTGGGTTAGAAAAGTGGGGGGGGGCATCTTATACATGGAATAATACGATACATTCAGTGTGGGAAGTGTACAGTGCATCTATAAATGTTGCTATAACCAGCATTTGATTTCTAAGCCTTTTTCAAACTTCGGCCAAGTCTTTTCAGACTGTAGTGTATATCCATAAATATCAGGGACTGCTTTTAAATTTGAACATCTTCGGATGTTCTTCGGATTCCTAATTTTATATATCAGATTCCATTCTTGTACAGTAGAATCATGGAAACAGAAAGCAGAGTCCCCAGTGAAATCTTTTCTCAGAGGAGATAAGTGAGTTCTTGTCCTTTTCAAGCCCACTAAACTTTACCTTTTAAACAAAGCTCTCCAGAGCTGATAATATGCTGTGCCTGGACACTCTGGTGTGTGCTGTTGCTAAATACTGCTGTAATCTTGTGTCATGGTTGCGGAACAGTTCCAGCTGTGCAGATAGTGCTGCGTTCCAGCTTATGAACTCTGCTGGGATTGTTAAAAGGTTGTTATGGGGTGTTAAAGAGTTTATTTAATCATAGGCATGCTTGTTCTCAAAGCAGATGTTTGGTGTAGGCAGAAGCTTTATGGAGCAAAGCAACGTCTATGAATGTAAGGAAATAAATAAAAAAATTAATTTCTTTCTTCTGTTCAGCCACACCTGTTTTTGTTGGGGTTTGTTTTTCATTTACTCTACTTTGCAATTGTTGTGTGAGGAGAACTGTAATATGGTAAAAAGAAATGATATGTTGAAACGTTACTTTTAACTCCCAGACGTTTCAAATAATCATTTCTTGTTTGGCATTCATAAAACAGTGTTTTAAGTTATTATTTTATTGTTTCTGTTTGGTTGTTGTAAACTGCCCAAAGTGGCCTTGGCTGGCAGATGGGAGGTAAACAAACAAACAAACAGGCCTTTTGCTTGTACAAAACAGAAAATGAGTTTAAAAATAGCAGCCTTTTGCTTGTCCAAAACAGAAAATGAGTTTAAAAATAGCACCTGAGGAACACCCATGTATCTTTTTCCTTCTGCTTCTGAAAACAGAACAATCTGTACATGAAGAAGCTGAATATTGTACATTGAGCATTATTTACATTAAACTTTCAGCACTGAAACTTGATGTGGAAATTAATTTGTGAGTTTTGGGAGACACATTGGGATGGATCCAGAGTAAATTAAATTTAGTTCCTGGTAAAATAATTGGACGTATATATCAGGACCAATTTCTTCAATTGATTGCATTAAGATTTTAACTGATTTGTTCAATATGGTAAAGCTAAACTCAAGACAAGAGACAAAAATTTGTTTATACATATTAGGTGCAGCCAGAATTCAAGTGGCAAAACAATGGAAAGACAAGGAGGAACCTTAGGTGGAGGATTGTTTAATAAAATTACAGGAACTGATATTGATGGACAAACTAACATTGAAAGGAAAGAGTAGGATGGAGCACAAATCTCAATGGGGGAAATTCTTAAAGAGAAATGGAAGAAAGATTCCAAACCTGTACCAAGTGATTTAGGCTTAAATTAGAAGCAAGCAGAACTGCTCTAAACAGAAGTAAAAACAAAGTAAAGCGTATTGTTAATAAGGATATAAAATAAGAATTAAGAAAGGTATTATTAAGATTGCAAAGAAAATAAATATTTGGTGGAAAATAAGAAAGTAAAAATGTTAAAGACTTACTGTTTTGCAAAAGAGATAATATAAAGTTATTTTAGTTATGTGCTAATATTGTGATAATTATTTTCTTATTTTTATAATTTCTTTTTTAAACACAATAAAGATTAAAAGTTAAAAAAATAGATTTTAACTTATTTCATTTACATGCAGCCTATTGTAAATATTACCTCCATTCATTCATTAATGTGAAGCTGTTACTGGTAATTTTTTACATTATTATTTCGTATTTGTGTGGAAAAACCAGAATGAGAATTGATGGTACTGTATATGAAAGCACGATTTACAGGGAACAATTGAGGTCTTGCAAATAGGAATTTCACTCTGAATCCCTAATCTGTAAAACAGGAACAGTTGTGACCTAATTTGTGGCGAGATGAAATGACAAAAAAATGTATTGGTGCCATGAATATAGAAACAGAAAGAAGTTCAAATAGGGAGGTGAGAATTAAGTGATGCAGTGTTACGGAGAGCCATCTCTCCAGAAAAAGAAATGTGGATCTAAATTTTTGTTTGTTTCCTTCCACACACACACACACCCCATGCAGATAGTTGTCTCTTTGGTGAACGGACGTCCAGGGGCGATGAATTTCTCTTACTCTCCTCTCCTGAGGAATTTCACCAAAGCGACCAACATTCGATTGCGATTCCTGCGGACCAACACCTTGTTGGGGCATCTGATGGGAAAGGCATTACGAGATCCTACTGTAACCAGAAGGGTGAGATGCTTCTATACTTCTCTTGACCTACTGTCTAACCCCTTGCATGGAAGCAACAGCTTCTGGAAACACTTGAGAGATGAATAAATACGTAAATTTGGCTGTTGATGAGATCCCCCCACCCCCTGTATCTGGTCACCTTGACATGACAAGACTGTACTGCACGCATTTGTCAGATCACCAAGAAGTTTTGGCTCTGGTGTGAAATTAATATGCAAATGTTTCTTTTTCTCCTATGTTTTTAATGGTTTGTGCAGATTAATTCTGTGCAACACTCCAGGTCATAGAAAAGAAGAATATAATTCTTTTTGACATTATGTCCTCCCCCTCAATTTACAACACTAAATATAAAAGCGTGCTGGTTATATACCGCCCTATAGCGCTTAAAGCACTTTAGTAAAAACAACAACAAATCATCAAATTTCTCTTCCGGTAATACTTGACAGATCAAAAGCTGTAAACGGGGAAAAAACAAAAGAGCAGCTAAGATTGCTTAAAAGGTCTTATGACCCAAAGGTGGGGGGGGGGAGAGAGAAAAAACGTTGTGGCATCTTAAAGATTGTTATATTTTAATGTAAACATTCATGGACAAGTCGACTTCTTCAGACATATGGAGTAAAATACAGAGTTAAGAGCTGCACATTAGATTCTGTATGCATCTGGAAGTGATATGCTTCCAGATTTGCCTGTTCTGGAGACTAATGTAGGATTTTCATAGTTTAGTGCATGTTCATGTTATCAGAAATGTGTTTCTATGCATATGTGGTATCTCCCATTCAGTTTTTATCGAAGTCTATGGCCATTAGGAGAGCTTTGTTTCCTTAATGCAAACCAACAGCTCTGAATTGTTCTTGTTGCCTCCCATGGCATAAGAAGAGGCCTGCTGGATGAGACTAAAGGCCGGTGTAGTTTCCCGCAGTAGCCCGCCACTGTCTGATAATTCTGAGGTGGGACCCACCTTTCACGGGTGGGCATTAAAATAATGTTGCACTTTTCCCCCCCACGTCAGACACAAACTGATGACTTTCATAGCACCTCCCTCCATCTCTCTGGAGAGATCTGTGTTGGACTTTGGCATCAATCTTCCATTCAAATCAAAAAACATTATTCTGGAGAGCTGTCTACCAATATCTATGCTTGATCTATATTTTAAATGGCTTATTTTATATGTTGTTAGCCGCCCAGAGTAGTCAGTTGACTAAATGGGCGGGCTACAAATTTAATAAATAATAATATCTTGAATAATAGTGAATCTGATCAGAGTGAGGAGGGAGAAACTGATTTTGAAAACTCTTGGAGAGGAATGATAGAGAAAAAGAGAATTACTGTATGTTGTAATGACAGTTTTCTGTTCCTAATTAGTTACTGGATTTCCATAAAGAATGTTCAGTTGAAATATGGGCTTTTGAAGTGGTATTTGTGGTGAAAGATGGAGAGGTTTGAATAGTTGTTGTTTTATAGTCTGTGTAAGACTTCTCAGGATTCAGTAGCTGAAATCCTGTTGATTCATGCATGAAATTGCACTACAGCAGGCCCATTGAATCAGTGGGGATTTGGAGTTTCAATTCATCTGTAAGTTCCATTGATTCAGCTGAGCATTATGATGACAGTTAATATATCACTGTAATCTTCTGGATCTTCATGCATCCTGTATCACCGCTGGTCTTGGCAGTTGCTGACAATGACCTATTCTTAAGCGCATAGTATTCCTTCTGAAAGATCATTTTTGTAGAACCGCCTTTCCCAACCTGATTCCCTCTAGATGTTTTAGACTGCAGGTTCCTCAGTCCTACTGAAAATGGCAAATATTGCAGGGCACATGGAAACAAAATGCAAAACATCTGGAAGGCAACCAGCTGGGGAAGGCTTTCATTCAGGACAAATCAGAAGGATCCTGTTGCATGTAATGGTGAAGCCATTTCTTTGAACGAAGTTGAATGTTTGTGCCCTGCACTTATTCCTTTGTAAGGGGAAAATATGTTGTCTTTTTGTGGTGCCAATGGATGAAAACAAGCCATTTTGTGATCTTCTAGTATTACTACAGCATCAAAGATATCAGCATTGGAGGACGATGTGTATGCCATGGTCATGCTGACGTTTGTGATTCCAAGGACCCATCAGACCCTTACAGGTAAGATTAATGTTATCTAGATAGACTGGTTTTAGAAATAATGGATACAGTTTGTGCACCAGGTTGGGAATATTTGACCCGGACTGTAGTCTGCCACAAAAAGTTGAACTAAATACAGGGACTCATCTGGCACTCAATTAAGATTTAAACCAAAGGAAGTGAATTATAATGGCCAAGTCACGTGCTATACAGAAGGCACTTAGAATAGTGATCAGTTAGGTTCCTATGGCCACGTTAAAGCCAGTTTTGAGCTACTATATATAAATATAAAAATACTGTCAGCCTTTCAGTGCCTCAGAAAACAGGAGTCCTGCTATAATTCAGAGGTGATTCTTTCTGATGTATGAAAACCATGATTCTGAGGCTAAATGAAGTTTAGGTGGTCAAGTTGAACATTCAAAGCAAAAGTAGTTATTGGTTACATGAACACTATGTTAAATGTTGCTAGACGTATATTCACCAGAGCTTGTGGCTGATTGGCATTTGAAGATTAAATATTTCTCTGTGTTAAGCAGCATTCCTTGGCAAACAACTACATTCACTCAGTGTCATATTAGTATAACTAGTGTATTATACACCATTAGCTCTTATATCTTTGTCCTCTTTCGTTGCTATGACCTTCTATCAGCATCTAATTTCTTTGTAAAATAGAAAAAACGATGAGATGCCTGCTTATTTTCAAATGTTGTTTCAGACATGTCAGCCTTAGGGCTTCAGTCCCAAACACATTAACCTGGAAGTACTGAGATCTCTGAGCTGACATGTCTGGGATTGTGCTGTTGATGTCTCCAACTGTTGCAATGTTTGCATAGACTTGTACGGTGCTGGTACGTAGGTAGAACATAAAACACATTGCCTAAGAGCACTAGAGAATGTTTTCCTTAGATATTTTTAACTCTCATAATAACGTCATCTCACAAAACTTTTGAGCTTGTGATTAAGCTGAATTAGAGCCAGTACTTTCTTCTTGAGGAGATCATCTTGATTTCAGTCCCTGGATTTGTCATGTCTGGTTTTTTTTAGGCCCTTCCGTAAGAGACCACTCATCTCTCTGATCCCTAAAATTTGTAGGGAGATAACAAGAATGGGAAAAAATGCTGTATTGCTTGTCTTTGGAGACTGTAGGGTAGGGGCTGATTTTTTTTTCCGGTACTCATCTGCATTTTTAGCTGTTGTTGGTATCCTATCCCCTTATTCTTTCCCCAGAAACACCAGTTTTGCTCTCCTTTCTGCTACCGGGCATCTGCTCAGTTGTTACATTTTGTGCCTGTACAGTGAAGAGCACAGCAGTTCCTTCCATGAAGTCCTAATCCTTCAGATCTCAAGATGTTTAGTCAGAGGAGTTGCAAAGCCATTTATTTGGTTTATATCAGACTAAACATCATTTGGAATAGGAGAGTTTGAGACATTCATTGGTGGTTTCTCTTTTTTTGGGAAAGAATGTTGTCATAGGTCAGATTTTGATTAAAAGCCACCTTTAAAAATGCTTTTGCTTTTAGAGTCTGGTATTCCCAGGGTAAGCCTCTAAATTCAAGATGAGGCTTTGCGTCTCTGTGTCTTCTGGATATTTGTGTAAAATTGGGCATCGTAGATTCTTTCCTTTACTAAACCTGAAAGAAAACACAGCTGCAATGTCTCCACTTTCTTAAGATGGAGCTGATAATGGGATTGCATGTTTCTCTTTCCTAGCTCCTTTCTTCTCCTACATAGATTCTGACTGCCCACTTTAAATTCATCTAAACACTGTGTCATCATAGTTAGTCATCTTTCCTGCAGGTGACCAAAGGTCCTTATAGTTTTACCAAGGGGAATGTTAAAAAGCTGGGATCTCCATCGGCAGGTATCTTGCATAGCTGCCTAAGGAAGGTTCTACTAGACAAGTGGTTCCAAACCTTGTGTCCCCAGACTAAAATTCCCAGGTGCCTTCGCCACTTCACCATGCTGGCCAGGATTCCTGGGAGTTGTAGTTCAAGACCATCTGGGGAACCAAGGTTGGGACCCACTGTACTACATCATCAACATCATAGACATTGATTACAGGGACCGCTAACGAGGATTTCCCTTTTAACCATCATATAAAAACAGGGTTTTGCAGTCCAGAGTCCCCTGGACTGCAAGGAGAACAAACCTATCCATTCTGAAGGAAATCAACCCTGAGTGTTCACTGGAAGGGCAGATACTGAAGCTGAGGCTCCAATACTCTGATCATCTCATGAGAAGAGAAGACTCCTTGGAAAAGACCCTGATGTTGGGAAAGTGTGAGGGCGAGAGGAGAAAGGGGACGACAGAGGATGAGATGGTTGGACAATGTCATTGAAGCTACCAGAATGAATTTGACACAACTCCAGGAGGTGGTGGAGGATAGGAAGGCCTGGCGTGCTCTGGTCCATGGGGTCACGACTAAACAACAACAACAAAAACAAGGTTTAACTAAAGGTCGCTAAGTGTCATCAATATCTTTAGAGCTAAACACAAGGAGGGTGAGGAGGCATCTTTCACTGTGGTTGGTGTTAGGATAGCATGAAAATCAGGTGTCTTTAAGTACAGAGATCTGCTCTTATTAGTTACTCACACATGGCGGGTCTTGTGCGTGCACCTACATGCTCCTCCTTTGCATATCTAGACACATCATTGTGGCTTTCTTTGAGTTTCCTCTCATCTGCCATGCTAGCAGTGTCAGAAAGAGTGTTCTGGAGCATTTCCTCAAAACTCATGGGGAAAGAGAAACTCTGGGAGGACAGCTAATGGAAAATAGTATAGCTGAAGGTGGCACTGAGAGAAAATCTTTCACAGACAACAGCAGTGACACTGAAGCTAACTGTTGTTAGTACTGTACAAAAGAAGGCAATGGTACTCTCTGTTGAACATATCTTACTTTGAAAGCCCTATGATGAAGCAGTCCAAAATGAAACAAGAGATAGTGTTGGAAGGTGCGACTCCCAGATCAGAAAGCACTCAGTTGGCTATGAAGAAAGAGCAAAGGACAGGTAGTAATAGCAATGCCACTAATGACACAACCAGATTAACGCTTAAAGGACATCAGGTGGCTGATGTGTACAGAAGTGAAAGGAAAGCCTGATGCCGCAAAACACATACAATTGTAACATGGGAAGCAAGAAGTATGAGTCAAGACAAACTGGAAACCATAAAGCAAGAAATGAAATGTTTAAACATTGCAGTGCTTAATGCCAGTGAACCAAAGTGGACTGGAATGGGACATTTTCAGTGAGCAACTACAAAGTGTTTTACTCTGGAAATGACAAACTCAGAAAACCTTTTGTATTCCCAGTAACTATGTATGGATTTGACAGCTGGACTGTGAAGAAAGCTGACAGGAAAAAAATTATTTGAAATAATGCTATTATTTCCTTCAGATTATATTAGATCCTACAATGATCAAGTTATATGAATGTAAAATTATTTTCAGCTTCATGTTGAAAAGCTGCCACCACCAGTTCTGGACCCTGTTTTTCGTAGGGTGCAGACCATGTCCTTGATGCAGTTTAGCTGCCTTTATTGCCAGCTATATCTCATCAAGTTAAATAGTCATAGCTTAAGCCATCCACTATGGCTCTCAATTCTGTCGAAACAGAAGACTTAGACAGAGTGCAAGAGGATAATGTAGAGTTTCAGTTTCATCATTCCGTTGCAAACATCATCATTGTGGAAGTGATTGAAACTAAAGCCAAAGGGAATGCATGCTGTTTATCTGTCGGCGTGGTGGGTGGTAGGTTACACTTGGTTGTGCATCACTTTACTTCTTTTGCTACTTTGGGTATTTCTATGATTGCTCATTTGCCATGGCGGTGTACCAGCAATTTATCTGGTAAAAGTTGGAACCTCTTCTTGCAGCTGGACCAGGGTACCGTTGAGTTCTAGCCATCTCGTTTAAGAGATAGGCATATAAACTGGCAGCACAGCAACTTCACTATGTTAGACATGTCTCTGTGTGCTCCCAATTTAACATCAGCAGCTAAGACTAGAGTTGGGGGTATTCGTATTCGTATATGTACCAATATCCCCCCCACAGGGTGGGGCAGAATGGTGAGGGGACTTTCTGACCCCAAGGGGCCAGACCCTCGTTGTTTCCACCTGTGGAAGGTATTCATATTTATATACGAATACACCCATCTCTAGTTATGATTCTATGTCTCTGAAGGAGGCTGTGGACTGCCTGTTTAAAACTCAGGTAAGTTTTGAAATAGAAATTGGTGCACAGCAACCAGCAAGATTCTAGCCATTGAGTTTTGTAAGCAAGCAAGCAAATAAGCAAATTCATTCATTCATAGAACTGGAAGGGATTCCCTGTGTTATTAACTTCTCCTCCTACCAAATCATGAAATCCACTCCAGAAGCATGCCATATAACTTCTCTTTAAAAATCTCCAAGGAAGGGTGACCCTCTGAGGCAGTCTACTGCACCACTGAGTTTGATATTTCTTCATTAAAGAATACAGGAGTCAGGATGCTATCCAAAGAATAGTTAATCATTTATACTTCCGCTATATCTGAAAAATACAATTAACACAAGGAGATTTGTCACTAATCTGTACACATTTCCGTTCTCTTAATGCCATAGTGCATGATCTAACACTCTCTGTATGTTTCATTCTATTTATAAATATCTGTCCTTGTTTTATTTTTCCAGTTAGGGGGCACTGTGTCTATAGTTAATAAAATGATCCATGGATGTATAAATAGGCATCTCAGAACCAAAGAACACACAGATTGCCTTATGCCTTTCTCCACAGGTTTTGATATTAGTCTCCCACTTATTTGGCCTGATCAAGAATCCAAGAAAGGAATTTCTCGTCATAAGGGATAGATTGGATTAGAAAGGCAACTGTTTATTTAGAATGAAGATTAGGAGGTTTGGAAAGTCCCATGTAGATTGTCTGTTATGACCTAGTTGCATAAACCATTTCCTCTAGACAGCTTCCTTCATTATATTTCCTTATCTTTGCTTGGGCAGAATACGTAACAGCATTCCAGTATGTGTGT